TGGGTTAGGTTAAGGTGCGCGGGGGTTATTAAATAGCGACTGGGTACGAGTCTGAGCAGTTTGCCGAGAGGGTTTGGCGCTTTAAATCCAAATCCTCACTTCCGCTTATTTACTTCCTTCATTCTTTCTGGGTTCCAGTCCTCCCTCCTACTCTTTTATCTTCGCCATGGTTACCCGTTCACACTGCGACGAAGAGTTGCACAGAAACGAATCCGATATGAGACGAACCACTTTCTAGGTCGGTGCTGCTTCAATTGGCCACTCCAGGAAATACCATAACATACCATAATGCTTTTTGATTGTCGCCCCAAAGTTTTGCATAAGCATTGTCTTCATTTTCTCTTGGGAGTTAAAATGGCCCCAAGAGAAACTCAAAACAATGCTTATGCAAAATTTTGGGGTGACAAACAAAGAACATTATGGTATGTTATGGTATTTCTGGAGTGGTCAATTGAAAGTGGCAAGTTGCTTAGATTAACGGTGAAATTCTAGAATTTGGGAAAAAAGTTTCCTTTGTTATTCTGACTCCACTAACACGAGATATTCAATGTGAAAACCTTTATTTAGGATGCGTCAGTCAGTCATCTGATGCAGATGTATCAACAATGATATCCTTCTAGCAAAATACTAATATATGTTCTAAGCAAGAACTTGTACCACGCCAGATAAAAAAAACACAAACAAAACACCCTTGAGAAGTGGCCAAAAACTGTGTGGAAACATATTCCCCTACTAATGCAGTGGCACGTAAAACCCTGGGGGAAGGGATCAAGGAAAATTCATTACAATGTTACATAGACTACTCCTAAATTATACTAATGGAATAGGGAGCGGGTCTAAATACCTAAATTCATAAACTATATACCGAAATAACAAACGTTAGATCTGAAGACGTAACAAAATAAAATATAGAAAAGGAAAACTTGCAAAACAAACCGAAAACTATCAGAAGGACTGAGCTGACGTAGAATGGCACAAGTCTTGCGCCAAAACCATAAATAGCCCGATACTATCCCAGGAACACCAGCGCGCCCTATACCGTGCCGTAAGAATATCAATGTCTGACTAATTCGTTCCCATGTCTCTAAATCGTCAGAAATTACATTTTTCAAAGTACAGCCCTGAAGGACAAAATTGGTTTGAACACCATCTTGTTTTACTGAGTCATTTAGCTGCCCAGAGACCCGTGACACGGTTGTGACGTCATCCAAAATCACCGCCACATTGGCCCGGTTACTTTTTGAAAATAGAATTAAATGAGTGTTTGGTTCTTACGACATTTGACAAAACAATGTCAGAGGATTTTCTGCTTGATTATGTAAAAGGAAACCCCAGTTGCCTAGGAAGAGTGTCTGATGGCAGATTAAGAAACTTGCCTAAAAATACATGAAAAACGTCCTGGAATCGAAACTTTTCAGCGCCCCTGCGGGAAAAGTGGTTTGTTAATCAAATATTGACTTTCCCAAGGTTCCAGAAGAAATTGTTTTAGAATGGTTAAGGCATCAGAGAGATCAGCAGCCACAGTAACATCTCGTTTTCTTCAGGTTTAATACAACATTACAAATCAGTACACCAGAAACTAAACATTGTATCTTGCAACGTGCTGGGATCAAGAAGAAGCAGTTAGTTTCAACAAGCCGACGTAATGACGTATAACGGATAGACCATCAGGAAAGCAAAGGGGTTGGGTGGGAGTTTTTTTAAAGTTCTATGAAAGTTTTCTCTTTAACCATGAGGTGGAAATCTGTTTGTCCTCCTCCAACAGCTTTATTGATGCAGGAGCATGGGCTCCTGATTGATCATGGTGCTGGGGATATTTTTTTCTTCATAATTTACTTGTTTTTCTTTTTTTTTTTTTTAGTTTCCCTTCCCCCGACCTCCTTTGTTTTTTCCTAATGGTGACGTCCCTAAATTAATGCAGCTTCTTTAAATAACCGAGGGATGGCTAAAAGTCAATGGCCTAGAGAAAAACAATCTAGAGACAGCAAAAGTAGGTCAGATCCTCGATAGAATGATGATAGCTTGAACGATTGCTGTAATTTCCTAACGCCAAACCTCAGTACTTTGCTGTATATGTGTTCTGGAACTGATCTATTTGATTAAAAGCCCAACTTTTACAACCTAGCACAATTACAACAAACATCATTAAGTTATTGGAGCGTCCAAAATCTTAATCTTAATTTAAGTTAACATCAATTATTGTTTTTATATCACTAACGCAATAGTACACGAAAAGTTTTTAACGAGAACTGATCTGTTTGATTAAAAGCCCTACTTTTACATGCACTGAATTACAAAAAAAAAAACAAAAACATTAAGCTATTGGAGCGTCCAAATCTGATCTGATCCAATGTTTGGATACTTTAAAGTTGACATCAATTATAGCTGTTGGGCCACTAACGCAAAATACACGAAAACGCTTAATATGATTGAATTGACTCGCAGTAATTATGAAGCAAAAATAAGAGTTAACCCTAATTAAATGGCAGAACAAACAGTCTACGAGTGCAGAGACAGAAGTGGATTCAGCTCTACAAGAAAGTGATGTTGGAAAAATAGAGAAGAAAAATAAATCTTGTTTTCGGATACAAATTAAATTTCTGAGCCTTTTCCCTTCGTTTGCATGCATGAAAGGACTGTCTGGAAACGCTTTTCCAAAAAAAGGTTCTAATTAAAATAAGTCAAAAGTCTCTCTAATGATTCTAACACGGTCTATTTTGCCAGCAGGTCACTCGCTTTTGTCTCTGTGCAGGCTATTTAGTGTATCGTCCAAAACTTACTGTAAAAACTACGAGCATATTCATTCCCAAACATGGATAGTATGGAAGGCAAAAAATTTACTCTTCGTATGAAAAAAAAAAAAAAAAAAAAAAAAAAAATGGAAATGAAAACGTGACAACAATAGTCCCATTGTTTTCTAACCCTGGGTCTGCATTCTGTCTGCATGCAGTCTGCATTTTGTACTGTCCACCAATTTATACATTAAGGATCAACAAGACATGAACATATTTCTTTTTTGTTAAAAACATTCCAGTTCTGGGTAACCGGGGATCAATCATACGAAACACACCTCTTTAACCCAGACCTTAAACCACAGTGAAGTGACCCGCTAAACTCACGTTCAGAGTGCACAAAATACTTACAGTACATACTTAAAATTTGAAAATCTGATTATACAGAAAATCACGCTACTGAAAGCACAGCCACGCTTGTAAATAGTTAATTGGTTCGTCTTCGTCCCGTTGGAATTCTTAACCCTGTTAGATTAATTTGAATTATTTTTTCAGTCATTCGCTTTAAAGCCGAGGGAAAATAACTGAAAAGGAATTAATAACTAAGATTATTATGATGGTAATTATTATTATCATCAATATTATTATTGTTATAATGCAATTTTCGTTTGCCAAATTACAATTTGCCGGTTATGGCAGGTTTACGAGAAAAGGGCCGGCAATCATCTATTCTGCTATTCAGTCAGTTTCGCGGGAGTAACGAAATACTTGTAAACAAAATTAAGTACTTTCCCCCCTCAAATTGTCTTTTTCCTGAGTTAAAATTGATAAGTGTAGCCGTGGCTAAATAGAGTTTCACAGTCTACCGTATGCCCTTTTATTTGAAACGTTTTTTTTTAAACGTTATTAGTACTGTTTTAAAAAGGAGTGTATTATCAGGTTTAAAAACTCAAGGTGAAGCCGAGAGTTTTTAAACCTGATTATGCACGACTGCGAGATTTTTCAATGGCTTCTCGAGGCTTCAAAATCTCTGCTATAGATCGATCAATTAATTTTTGCACTAAAATTTAGATTTGGGGTTATTTTGGTCCAAAAAATGAGCGGAAAATTTAGCCGCGTCTTATCGTATCAGATATAAAGACACGTATTAAGCATTAACTTCTTTTGTTTTTTCTTTGTGAATTAAGAAGTTAAAAGCCATGCTTACGGTAAACGGCAAACTTAGATTTGTACCACGTGACCAAGTTTTCCCTTTACTTGTCGTTTACTGTCTACTAAATCTACAAAAAAGTTGTTAGTTTCACGTCAGTTTTATCCATAAGAATTGCTTTGAGCTCTTTTTATCTGCATATGCTCTATTTTGAGAAATTCTCAACTCGAATCTGCAGACTTTTGCCGTTTGTCGTAAGCGTGACTCCGAATCTCTCTAATATCTTCTGAGAAAAATGACTAAAATGAAAACACGCGTTCTTACTAAACGTCCCTTAGGAAACATTCCTCTATTAAATAACGCACTGTTTTCTTTGTGGAAATCCAGATACAGACACGCTACTTCAGCAGTCATGTGTTGACATCAAACTCTCAGCGCATCCTTGTAAAAAAAGTAACAATTAATACATTAATTATAATAACCTTTCATTTAAAAATTTAAAAACAAACTAAAGGTCAAAGCGTTAAATTTTAGGATACCATGGATGATAATTTGAAAAATAGCAAAATGAAAACAATAGACATGTTAGACATATTTGTTCGTTCTGAAGCTAAGAATTTCTCTGCTATAGTCCCCTAGGAAAACGAAGGAAACTAAGACCTTGTTTACATGGAGTGGGGGACCCCGGTCTAGTGGGGTAGGTTTCTTTTGTTTTGTGTCCACCAGAGCGTGAAAACAAAAGAAACCAACCCCACTAGACCGGGGTCCCCCACTCCATGTAAACAGGTCCTTATTCCTATATACATGTATATCTTTTATCCACAACTGACCTAAACTATTAATTTGACAATTGAGAACATTACGCGAGCCATAGTGTTCAATTGATTTTAAAAAATGTGTTGGTAGCCCGCTGGGAATAGAATTTACTTGAGTGAATGCATAATAATTTAACACTTACCACCCAACCCATCCTTACTTTTTACATATTTATTCTCGTTATTCTTTTTATTATCAAGTCTGTCATTTCACTTTTTTCTGAATTTGACAAGAATGATTCTGGCTTTTCTTCTTAAGTCTTCTGTTACTAAAACAGCAAGAAAAACAAAGAAAACATCCACTTACGACTTGCTCAATGACTCTTTTTCCAATTCAATTTTAACGTCATCGCCCATCAGAACAAAAGGAGCCCAGTACTTCGGGGCAGAATAATCCTGGGAGTCTCGAAGACATTTCATGGCCCTCTGAAGAGCAACACCTGCACTTTCTCCGCTTGCAAGTTGTTGATAGAAAGATTTCATAAACATCATTGTGGCTTCGTCATCAATTGCCCAGAGTGTCGCCAGCACGGAACGAGCACCAGCAAACAAGAAAGCACGTGCCATACCGACCACACCCTCAGACGAGACCGGTCCTTGACCACTATGGCAGCAACTCAAAACAACTAGCCTTGCTATCAGCTTCACAGCTTGTATATCAGACATTTTCAGAATATAGTCCTCCTCCGTAGGAGTCTTGGTTCCCCATAGGGGGTCTGGAGCCAAAACAATTTCTCCAGTTTCCTTCCTTCCGTGGGCTGCGATGTGAACCAAAGCAACTGATGCGATCCTCTGAAGTACCGCTTCTTTGGTTGCATCTTCACCTGTTAAAGGTTGACTCTCTAGAATTTCTCCAATCATCTCTACTTCCATTTTAGCGTACTTCAGCTGCTTATAAATGGGGTGTCCCCCTTTATTTGTAACTTTCTTCAAACATGGGTCTCCGACAAGTAAGGCTCCACTTTTACTGTGGTATTCACATGGAGAATCTGTGATGAATTTTGAAATTGTCAGTGAGGGAACGGTGCGGATCCTTAACGATTCTCTTAAGGCTGCCCAGGGAGCTAAGCACAAAGCACCATCGGGAACTACAATAAGTTCATCACCATCAAGCAAGTCTTCAATGGGACCAAGAACTGCATCATATAATGGTTGTAAAAAGTCGGTGGTCTTCTGTGATGGATCCGATGTGTGATTGTCGTCTCGAATACTTGAGGAAGTTGAGTCATCACTCAGCTTATCCATTGACCGATTTTCGCACCTAATACCGACGCCAGCCCTAATGTTTTTCAAAACAGTGTCTAAAAGGAGAGTGTGTTCACATCCAATTTTTATCTTCGCTTGCCTAAAAACAGGGTTGCCCTCTTTTCCCAGCACCCAGATATTGACTGTTTTCTTTTGCAGGGCAAGAAAAACTGTTAAAACAGTTGTCTTCCTTGAAATATATCTGACTTCTTCTTCAGATTCAATTGACCTGGGAGAAAGTGATGTAAGGCCATAAGTTACTTTTAAGGCATCGAGCAAAGCCTGTGCCCGTCCCCTCTCAGCAGCGTATAAAGCCTCATCATTCCTTTGAAGCATGACTAAAATTTGCCATAAATGAGTATAGGCACATTGATAACCCCTACAGAAACTTATTTTCAATTGATCTTCCGAGATAGAATTGGCTCTAATAGTGTCACGGATTTTAACACAGCATCTAAAATGTTCTAAAGCCTCATTCAAAGAATCTGATTGTAAAAAAGAGTGACCCAGACATCTATGTGCACATGCTTCTGCCATCCTGCTACCGATTTCCTCGGCAATGCTCAGGTGTTGCTTGTAACACTCTATTGCTTCCTTCAAGTCGTTGAGATGTCCATAACAACGTCCGAGGCGGCAATAGGCTTGTCCTTGTCTACTCTTGTCACCGATTTCTTCGGCATTGCTCAGGCATTGCTTGTAGTACTCCATTGCTCGTGGCACGTCGCCGAGGGAATAATGAACTTCGCCGATGCCTAAATAGGCATGTCCTTGGCATCTTCTGTCACCGACTTCCTTGGCAATGCTCAGGTGTTTCTTCTGGCACTCCATTGCTCTTTGAAAGTCTTCAAGGCGGTGATAAAGAGAGCCAAGTGTGCAATAGGCTGTGCCCTCCTCTGCCCTGTCACCAACTTCCTTGGCAATGTTGAGGTTTTTATTGATGTACTCTATTGCTCGTTGGTTTTCGCCGAGATGTAAATAAATAGAGCCGAGATCGCCATAGCCGTCCCCTTGCCTTGCCCTGTCACCAACTTCCTTGGAAATGATGATGTATTTATTGGTGTACTCTATTGCTCGTTGGTATTCGTCGAGTTGACTATAAATATAGCCGAGATTGGCATAGGCTTTGCCTTGACATACCCTGTCACCAACTTCCTCGGCAATGCTGAGGTGTTGATTGTGGTACTCTATTGCTCGTTGGAATTCTTTAAGGCTTTCATAAGTATGACCGAGATTGGCATAGGCTTTGCCTTGACATACCCTGTCACCAACTTCCTTGGCAATGCTGAGGTGTCGATTGTGGTACTCTATTGCTCGTTGGAATTCTTTAAGGCCGCTATAAGATGAGCCGAGATTGCCATAGGCACATCCTTCAGCTGCCCTGTCACCACCTTCTTTGGCAATCCTGAGGTGTTGATTGTGGTACTCTATTGCTCTTTGGAATTCTTTAAGGCCGCTATAAGATGAGCCGAGATTGTCATAGGCACATCCTTCAGCTGCCCTGTCACCACCTTCTTTGGCAATCCTGAGGTGTTGATTGTGGTACTCTATTGCTCTTTGGAATTCTTTAAGGCCCTCATAAGCAAAGCCGAGATTGTTATAGGCACATCCTTCACCTGCCCTGTCACCAACTTCCTTGGCAATGCTGAGGTGTTGATTGTGGTACTCTATTGCTCGTTGGAATTCTTTAAGGCTTTCATAAGTATGACCGAGATTGGCATAGGCTTTGCCTTGACATTCCCTGTCACCAACTTCCTCGGCAATGCTGAGGTGTTGATTGTGGTACTCTATTGCTCGTTGGAATTCTTTAAGGCTTTCATAAGTATGACCGAGATTGGCATAGGCTTTGCCTTGACATACCCTGTCACCAACTTCCTTGGCAATGCTGAGGTGTTGATTGTGGTACTCTATTGCTCGTTGGAATTCTTTAAGGCCGCGATAAGATGAGCCGAGATTGCCATAGGCACATCCTTCAGCTGCCCTGTCACCACCTTCTTTGGCAATCCTGAGGTGTTGATTGTGGTACTCTATTGCTCGCTGGAATTCTTTAAGGCCGCGATAAGCGAAGCCGAGATTGCCATAGGCACATCTTTCAGCTGCCCTGTCACCAGCTTCCTTGGCAATCCTGAGGTCTTGATTGAGGTACTCTATTGCTCTTTGGGAGTCACCTTCTAAAAGGTAAGCAAAGCCGAGACTTCTATAGGCACATCCTGCACCTGCTCTGTTACCGACTTCCTCAGCAATGCTCAGGTATTGCTTGAGGTACTCTATTGCTCGATGGAAGTCCTTGAGGGAGAAATAAGCTATGCCTAGATTGTAGTAAGCTTCTGCTTTCTCTTCGGTGTTTTTCTTGATTTGCGCTATTGCAAGACGCTTGTTTTGTTCAGCTATATCTTGTAGTATTCTTTCTGCCATTTCCAAGTTTTAGTATTCAAAGTGGAACTGTTTCTTGGCAGTAAGGTCTCTTTGAGGAGCGTTGAGGTGGAGTAAAAACAAAAATAATTTTCATTAATACATTTGAGGTCTTAGAATACACTGTATGTTCCCATTAGACAGATAAGACATGACAGAACTTTTCACAGTGACTACTTCCTCTCTTGATTTACTCTGTGACGCTTCTCCGGAATTTTTTGACAGTTTCTGAATTAGTGTTATAAGACAATATTTCTGGACTCCCCGTGGACAATTACTTCGAAATAAACATATAATTCCTGTCACAAACATCGCCGAGCTTGTTGAGTATGTGCTACCCCCACACAACAATGACTTTACCAAGCCGCGTGCGCGCTGAATACGTTTCTAGATGGACTTGCAGAGTTAGAGAGTCAATAATCAGGAGGTTTAATCAGGAGCAAAAAGTTGCTAAGCGATTTAATAGAAAAGGAAAAAGGCTAGCGAAATGCAGAAAATACTTCCAATAACGAGAGTAATAATGAGGAGGGTTCATTGGATATTTAAAATTAGGAGGGGGAGGAGGAAGTGGCTTCTGAGAATGGTGTTGAAGTTGACTCCCAAGAGAGCCACAACGACACTGAAAAACGACCACAGTCAGGAAACAGAAAGTAGAAGCCTTGAAACGTCCACCACCTTTCACTCTGAAAATCCCTGTGAACATTGTGAGAATTCTAAAGTGTACGGAACATTGATCATGAAATGTCCTAACTGCTTTTGGTACGATCACTACAAGATTTGTCCGATATGCGATTACCAGATACCAGAGGAGAGAAATTACATCAAAGAGGGCTTTCTTCGGTGTCACCATTGTGGAGCAATTACACACAGAAAAGCGAAGACGTTGGAAACCAATTTTTATTCCCCCTCTAAAGAGGAGAACGAAGAAGAGGATAAATTTTTCATTCCTTTCAAATCGCTGTGTATTTGACTCTTTTTGTCATTTGTTTTCAATAAAGCTTTTAAAACGGTATCTCGTGTCTGGTTTTATTATGAGCGTTTATTCGTAGCGTGTTTTAATTGATCGTTCTTACGTTTTTTATTGTTTTGTGTTTTTATAATAATAAGTCAAAGTCCAAAAAATGAGTCCGCTGCCCTGCGACAATAACATTGCATGCACATTTCAGAGAGACCACAAACTAGCAAATCACAACAATTTTTAAATTGTTTGCCTTACATAGAGCAGAAATAACAGCGATTTAATTTATAAATAGTAATTTTCCTGAAAACCTTTCTGGCAGTACAATTCACATAGTCCCAATAAACATTGAAAAATTTAAAAGGCAGCTGTTTGAGGAAAGATGTCTTGACTAAATAAGTTCGTGACCTCAATTTCTTATTAATCGATGCAAGACTTAGTTTCACAAATTTATGCACAAAGCAGGGCTTTCTTCGTTAGCTATTGTAATAAAAATAAAAATTATTTTAAATCTGTGACGTCTACAACATGAGAGATCTACATTTAACACAAATTATCCTGAATATCCGGCGTTGCTTGTGTGAGGAGGGGTAGGGGGGGGGGGGTTGGAGGCGGGGAGGGGTGGAAAGGAAGTTGAAGAGAGTAGCGGAAAAGGGAGACAACGAAGGTAGAGAAACACAATATTCTAGTCGGACGTTTTGCTTAACATGGAACAAAGATACTTTGCTTCGCGGTCGGAAACCGGTCAAAACTTATTATTAATTATTCCTAAGTAAAAAAGAGAGGGAAAAAACTACAGCAGGAAATCAAAATAAACTTGCTGAAATATCTGATTAGACAAATTCCAAGTTAAAGGAGATTATTTCTTACCTGGACGTCGACGATTTAATCTCTGTGAAGAAATTTTCAACGGAGTTTTGAAGTGTTCTCCAGTGGTTGGATTTAAATGCAGAGGACTATCAAATATATAGGGTGGCCGATAGAAACAAAAAAACCACAAGACATCAACAACAACAAAAATAGGAGAGAACCAACCCAAAACAGAAACACATAAGACAAAATGGGAAACCCAAAACAGAAAAACAGTACCAGAAAACAGAAACACAAATCCCGAAACGGGAATAAGTATCCCCAACAGGAAACACACTCACAAAAATACAGCATTAAACCGCAAAACTGAAACAGAATCCAAAAGTACAAACCATAGCCACAGAAGACGAAAACAGAAACATAAACAAAGGAAATATTGTAAAGCTATAGTTTCTCATGTTTCATCGTCTTTTTTAGAGCAGGCGTTTTACGTTTTTTTTTTAGGGAGAACATGATCGCAGGCTATTATTATCTAGGAACATCAACCTGTAAATCAATCTCGTTCCCAGGCAGAGTTATGGTTTTGCTTATTGAACCTATATCAAGAAAACATGCGAATGAGGCCCTGTTTATATAGAGAAAAATTTTCCCCGGGTCACCCTCCCAGCCCGAGTCAACTTAAGCAAGTGTTTATTTGTTTTCCTTTTTTTATGACAGGGAGAAATTTTTCTGGAAGGAAACAGTTGACCCTTTTGCCTGAACAGTTGACCCTTTTGCTTGAGCTGAAAACAGCGCTCGTGCATGCTCTGATTCTCTCGCCTTGACTGAGTTAGTAATGACCCGGCTGGGCAAGCCAAGTGTTTACTTGGAGAAAAGTTGGCTTAGCTAGGAAGGTGACCTTACCATCGAAAAAGGGGCTTCCCGAGCCCACTATTTGTTTCTAGTGTAATTAAAGTTTCGGTAAGGAAATGTAGGAAATGTTGGCTCGCCCAGGGTAGCTCGGGTAGGCGAGTGACTCTTCAACCTGGGGCGACTTTTCTTCATATAAGGGGCGACCTTGCAGCCCTTGGACGACCTCAGGGTATTGGTTGGGAAAACAATGAACGAACAAAGTTAGGAACCTAGCCCGAAAACAAAAGAGCTACGACCCATAGGGGTTTATTCTGAACTACTGCAAGGCTACTGGGGCAAAGGGGCCTAATTGGCTATTTAGGCGATTACCTTGTTTTTTCCAGTAAAGGAATTCACTTCACTTTTTCTTTCATATTTAAATTTGGTAATCCCACTGAGGTTTGAATAACAAAAGCTCTAACTTGCAAAAGAAAGCAAAACCCTGAAGGAATCTGGTATAGTAAAATGACGTCATCTTGCAAACGGCCTTTTTTAGAATCCTTCAGAATTTGGCTTTCTCATGCAAATTAAGGCTTCTAAATTTACCGAATTAAATATAAATGAATTGAAAAAAACGAAATGATCGTGAAAAGCCCCGTCCACACAAATCCGGATATTTTTAAAAGCGCATTTAGATATATTTTTCACATGAATCGGCCTTCCGTCTGGTATTCCGTCCACGCGCGAAACCAGAGAATCCTCTCACCGAAACATTAGGCTAATTTAGCAACAGAACAGGAACATCAGTTGACGACGGGAAAGCGCGCGGAAAGGACTGAACGCGACTTCCGGTGCTCAATTTGCTGCTCTGCGATTGGTCAAGCCAGTTGTTTGATTTGCGCGCGTCGTCGTCAACTGACGTTCCCGTTCTATTGCTAAGTCAGCCTAATACCTTTTTGAAACCGCTCTCAGGAGTGGTTTAAGGCGTCGTCCACACGAATCCGAGTGAAAAGTTATGCAGTTTCAAAAATTAGTCTGGATTCGTGTGCACGTGACCCCAAAACAATTCAAGGTAGCTTTTGCTGAATCCAGTCAAGAATGTCCTCGTAAACCACGCTCGCAGTTTCTTCCACCTCATTCAACAGTTCATAGCGTCCATTTTTGTAAACCTGAAAAGCAAGTTTTTCACGCAGTTGAGTTTATATTGAAATAATAATAGCTAGATTTAAAAATGACAACGGGACGGAAAATTGGCCGAAGAGGAAAAACTCTACATTATTCTTTAGACATCCGTTTGGAGACGAGAATTTCCTCTTTGGTGATTATTTTATAAATTCTCATAACCTTTTCCCTTGAAAATGTGGTGACATTGTTAGGAGAAAATAGATATTGGTCACTCTTGGGGTTAAAAGGGTTTAGACAAATCACGACTGTTGTTGGGATAAGTTCAAAATAATTACGCTTGGAACAAAGTGGCCGAAACTCCTACCCCGGGCAGGACAATATCACCACAGGAACAAACGCCGTTGTAAGACCGCCTCTTCCTGCCATCATGATATACCATCAAGCGGAAATACCCATAGAGAGGCTATTAGTTCGCTCAGTGCTGTCAGTAAAGCAGCTCATTCGTGTACCTTAAATGTCTTGTCGTTACTTAAGAAATTCTCATGTAAGTAACGTGAACCGTCAATCTTCGCTAGTTGATTTCCATCAAGATGGACAAGTAGATAAGGTGTTGTAAGCCTTGACAAGTTCCTCTGGATTTCATTCATTGCGTCTAATATAGCTCCGACCCATCTCACTTTCATTCCCTCATGCCAGTTTAGGCTATCATTGGCATACGTTTCAACCTAAAAACTATAACAATAAACAAGGCGCATTGTGTTATCGAAGTCCTAGACTTGCCACAATGCAAGTCGACCGCGAGAACAAGAAGCTAAGGCACGAGGGACACCCGGTACTTAAGGAAATTCGACTTTCTGTAAGACTTATGGTTACTAAATGGATCGAGCGAAGAATTGAGTGATATTAACATTTGTACGGGGATGCTCCACCCCTAAACAAGCACGACGAGCTCCTTCAACGATGAATGTGTAAGGCGTTAGGCCTAGGGGTGGAACCTCCCTCTATATATAAAACGTTGTTGACTGGCCACCAGCCCCCATCTGGGGTATAATCGTAAGGCTAATTAATTGAACAGGATAGAATGACCCTTGACGAACCCGCTGTCCACCAACGTTACTAGTTTATTGCACGATCATGAAAGATGGAAAACGTCAATTCCTGACTCAAAATTCCGAACGACTTGTCATAAACCATTAAACTGAAAAACTTTTATTCGATCTCCACCCAAAATATTCCAGTCAGTGGTACGAAATGTCGAGTGTCGCGACTGCGTCATTCGGCAAGCTCCACAAATCACCTGAATATTTTCGGCATTGTTCGAAAGCCGTGGAAATTTTTTTTCGGAAACGCGGATAAAATGCATACGAAAGTCCCTCTCCTTTGACTCAGGAAAAGAGAGCAGTTTTCAGTTGTGTTATTCGCCTTTTTAGAAACGAGAAGGGAATTTTATTGGAGAAGAAATTTGACCCGCGATTGTTTCTGGGATTGTTACTGGGGTCGCGCCAGTCAGCTATTGGCCAATCTTTTTCCCTGTCCCTAGTAACAATCCCAGAACTCTACGCGAAAGTAAACCCGGCTGAGTTTCCCTGTAGTTTTGTATCACCTGTGTAGGATCCTGGCTTAAGACTGATGGATCAATCGGTGGCCTGATCTGGTACGAGGGCATTATCCATGATACTATTCTTCCTACACAAACCTGTAAGATACATGTGTTATGTACGTTATTTGAGACCTTTAGTTTTCAAGACGAGGACGACTACGAGTTAGAGATTTTCTTAATGCTAAGCAGTGCGCGCGCATGAACCAGCGTCATTTTGGCGGGAAAACGTGATAGCCGTCGTCATTCTACTACGAGTTTTGCCGAGAATGTCGTTGTGACGAAAACAAGTTATCAAATGTTAGAAGCTAAGTTTTATTATTTTCGGTCGGGAGAGGGCTTAAACGCCTTCAATAAGTAACAGTGCTAACTTTTCTGGTGAATGAAAAGTACAATGGAGCTTTCCTGGTGTATATTTTTCTTTTTGAGAAGAGCGAAAGTCGTACTCCTAGTAGTTCTCGTCCTCGAATCTAAAGGTCTCTTTTAACCAAGCGTGAGGTCCAGATAGCTGAATATTGGCCATGTTCGTTTTTTTTTTTGCGTTTTTATATATGGAACAATCACTACTGTATTAATTTCGCCCCTCCCCCTAGAAGACAAGGTTAAAAACTTGACTCGTGATAAAATAATCTCCTATTAAAATAATCATCATATTCCCTTCCCTCCACCACTAGAACTTTGTAAAAAGTTCGTTTCGACTAGTGATTGATCAGATATTTATGTTTAAACAACATGTGAATTGACTATAAAAAAAAATTCTGCCCCTGCAAATATTTCACATCTAAAAACTGTTTGATCTCACTCTGTATTAAAGCTATGGTAAAACGGACAACAAAAACGTGAAACCTGTTTTGCAAAATTGTTGGGAAACTAGTTGAAAAGTGATGTTGGGCATTTTTCTGCCCACGAATGAAGCCTCCCTTGCAGCAAATCAGGTTTAAACAAGTCGCGAAAAAGTTGTTGCAGAAACTGCAGAGAAGTTCTACTTTTTGCATCAAATCTGTCAATGTTGCGCCTTTTAATTACCGACCCAAGGCAAACTTGTTTTGCAGCAAGTGACGTAACTCCTGTGTATGGCGTGACTCCCGCGTAATTTTATCCAATCAGGAGTCAGTATTTACGCAACTTGCAACACTGAATCTTCTTTGCTACAAGACAGGTTCGATGTATGGGCAATAAAACGCGTAGCATCGCTTTCGGACTCGTTCTGCAGCAATTTGTTGCCCGTTTTAACCTTAAGCCTCGTTTTTAAAGCGAGAGTTTTTGGAACTCGGAAATGGGCCATTATAGCCTGTGATCATGCCCTCCCTATAAAAAAAACCGCCTGATCGCGGGTTAAGATAATTAAAAGACGATGAATCATGAGAAACTGCCTACATTATTTCCTTGTTTCTGTTTTGGGGTCTTTGATCATGGTTTGTATTTTTAAATTCTCTTTCAGTTTTGTGGTTCAGTTTTGTATTTTTTTGTACGTGTTTCCGCTTTGAGATGTTTATTTCTGTTTTGGGATTTGTATTTCTGTTTTCTGGTAGTGTTTTTCTGTTTTGGGTTTGCTGTATCCTTTTTTTCTCATTGACGGCACCCTAAGAAAGAGAAACAGTCTTGCATTGTGTTTTCGTTTATTATTTGTACTTTCCACCCCCTTCATCCAACATGAGCGGAATTTTTCTAAGTCTCTCACGAATAGAAAATGAACTTTTCCATCTGAATCTATTCGTGTCCAATGGATCCGATGGACTCCATCGGAATGACTTTCCACCCCTCATCCAACATCAGCGGAATTTTTCTAAGTCTCTCACGAATAGAAAATGAACTTTTCCAACGGAATCTATTCGTGTCCAATGCATCCAAACACTTGGTAGGACTTTACACCACGAGACTTCCGGTTTTCCGATGGAAAGCAAGAGGATACGACTGGATTCTGGTCGACAGTATTGGACAACCCTCTGGAAAAGTTCATTTTTCTATTCGTTAGAGACTTAGAATAATTTCACTCATGTTAGATGGATTCCACTCATGCCATGAGGGGGTGGAAAGTCGTTCCGATCGAGTCCATCGGATCCATTGGAAACGAATAGATTCCGATGGAAAAGTACAGTTTTCTATTCGTGAGAGACTTAGATAATTCCACTCCTGTTGTATAAGGGGCTGAAAAGGCGTTCCAATGGAAGCCATTGTATCTATTAGATTCGAATAGATTCGAATGCCTGGAGAAGAACATTTTCTATTTGTAACGCCAGGTCAAAAATTGTCATCATGTTGAACGAGGTGGAAAAGTGTGAAACGGAGTCTACTGCATCAGTCTTTTGCAGTGGAGAGGTGTATAAGAGGTCGGGAAAATGTGGTATGTAATCTTAATTGTTTGGTTCGCGAGAAAAGGCTAGTGAAGTCCGATCATCCATCAAAAACTGCATCGCATCATGCGGTAATTTCTTTTTGAAAGCGAACTCGTATTTGAGATAATTCAGTATAACAATATCTGTGTAGCGAATGGCGGTAGCGATATGCGTTCTCTATTCGTCGAGCTCCCGAATTTCGATATGTTAGTTCGTTGTTATACTCCAGGAGAAGTGAAACAAGTCAATTAGATTTGACAAAGTGAGCGTGCTACAGGATCAGGTAACGCGAACTGTTGGGAACGCGAAGGATGCGATCGAGGGGGACTAGAAACAAGAGTTGCCTGATCGACAAAATGGCCAAGATGGCGCATCTTTCGATCATTGACTTTCTAAAAGAATTTACGAGTAAAGAATTCGAACGGCTAGGAAAAGGCATATGGAATTATCTTAAATTCCACTGTTCCTTGAAAATGTGGAATCTTTCGATGTTAAATCACAGCATAAGAAAGCAAAAACGTAAACTGAAGTGCGAATTTGGAATTCCTCCGAGGGAAGAATCGACGGAGTTACCTATTTTGAAACTCGTAAATGGAATCTCTCAGTAGGATTTTGGCATCCCTCCGAAGGAGACGTTTCAGAAGGGGTTTGGTATCCTTAGAAGGAGGTGTGTTGCAAATGGAATCCCTCAGAAGGACTTTGGCATCCCTCAGAAAGAGATGTCTTTTGCCTGAGATTTTGATCCAAAAGTAAGTAGCCAGGAAAATACCACTATTCATTATCCGCATGTACTTACAGTTACTATACGCACCACTGCATGCAAGTACATGCAAGTAGACCAGTTGGCAATTCATTATAATGTGTTAGAGCTGGTATTGAAGTGTAGTTTTTAACATTTACTTACCCGAGTGATGATAATTGTGCAAGTCTAGGTTCGTTTATGAAATGGTTTGGAACTCCTCAGTTCCTTAAAAATGACGAATGTTTTCATAATAAAAGCATATTAATGAAGCATAAACCTTATGTGCTCAGATCAATTGATACTTTCAACATCCCCCCTGCCCCCCACCCCAGGTATTTGACACACTATTTTGTGGTAAATTGTCATTGTTATCATTGGTACAAATACGCCCAACTTACTTTTAGACGTCCAAAACACTCACCATAAATTAATCCACACCCCAAACTACATGCAAAAGTACCCTGGGTGTGACACGGTGTGATCACCCCTTTGAAAATTCCTAGCTATGCCCCTGATGTGTTGTTGATAAATATATTTTTGACAGGATCATGCAAAACTGGAAATTTCAAATCTCAGTTCTGTAAATTGATCCTTTAGTTCCAGACCTTTCAAGGCAAGAAGGAAGGTTTTAAATAATTGTTTGGAGGGAGTTAGATTTTGCGATTCCCCTGTATACAAAGAGGTAAGTTTTAAATTCAATTCCGGCCATAGTACCACACTGCATTACAAATCAGAATTTCTCCAGCTCAGTTGGAATTTGAGATCATATATTTTTGTTTTGTCTTGTCGCTTTACACTTAAAAAAAAAAGAAAAGAATAACGAATGGTGCTGGCTATCCACAACGTCCATCCAACATGGATTTCAGTGAAATTTGTTTTTGCTTTTAAACTTAATAGATGAAACTTTATTGTGCGTTTAGTCGAGTGCACTTATAAATTGGGTCACCTTGGCTGTGTAATTTCCTTTTCTATCGTAGGTATGGCAGACAATGATAGCGACGAGGAACCGGTCTTTTCTTTAACTATATATGCTAGCTTTGGCAGGAGTGATGAGATCAGCTGATCTGATAATTTTAAAACCTTCCTTCTTGCCTTGAAAGACCTGGGACTAAAGAATCAATTTATAGAACTGAGATCTGATATTTCCGCTTTTGCGTGACCCTGTGAAGAATATGATATCACCAAAACATCATTGTAATGTTCTGTTTTTAAGAGCTTGGGAAGATCTGTAAACCATTCAGGGCATTTTTTTACCAAATTCTGACCTGCAACCTGCAAATTACACCCCTCGAGTGGAAATATAACCATGGCCATGTAATATTTTTAGAGGCAATAAAGATGTCACCTAAAATTCCGATTTTCCCTCACCTGAGATCATGCTCTGAGAACTGCTAAAATTGGACGTGATCTCAGGTTAAATTTTCCCATGGGCAACCAATCAAAAAAAGCAAAATATGTTGAATCGAAAATAATGATCTTTTTTAAATGCCCTCAAACTTACTCCATTTTCCATAAAGTATTTACTTTTTGTTATCTGCTATACCTGAACAAAGTGGGGAGAACCCAATCTGCAACATAAATATGTACACAATGCTATTTTCTGTCATGGACTTCTATTTGACAATGCAACAATCAAATATAACAGATTTTAGTGAAAGGATACTCTTAAAAGTTTATTATTACAATAACACGAGTAATAATTTGTTCATTGTAGTTTAGAGGAATAGAATGAAAGTCTCCAGCACAGAAAAATTAGTCTAAAGAAAGCTCTGATTTAAGACAAGAATGCATTTCAGCTACAGCACATACACCACATATAGCATCAGGTATAGAATATAATTTCTGTCTTGATTTTGAATAATAAACTACCAGAAGGTGTTAAACAAATTTCAGTAATTATGTTGGCATAAAATGACCTTGATACTATATTTTTTGCTCATGATCAGAGAGAGATTTTCTTACAAAACTTTTTTCCAACAAAATTAATCTGC